AAGGTGTACTTCATTGTTAATCAATAATATCCCTCATATAAAAAGAGAGAGAAATTTATTGTATATCCTGGATACTCTTTGATCCTTTTGTGCTGCGTTGTCCCTTGATTTTGCTTAGCGTCATGCTATCTCGGGTTCCTCCTGTTTAGACGTAATTTTTTATTCTTTATAAAATTACTAGTTACCCAAAAAGACGTAATAAATCTTATCGAACTTAATGAAAATAAAAAGTAAAAGAGTAGTGTTGTAGATAATCTTGTTAATTTGTTTCTCTTTAATATAATATGTTGGATAAAAGTAATAGGGTTCTTAAAAAAAAAAAACTTATTTGTTGATCAATAGGGTTTGCTCCAAGTAGATTTATTATGGCAATTTGATGACTTACCCAATTCTATAAACTAAATTTTAATTTACATGTACAAAGGAGCATATCATTACTTTTTTTTCTTGTTGCTATTGAGAAATATTAATTTATTAAAAAGCATAAATATATGCTATAGAGTGCTTGCATTCATTTTGGAATCCATGAATAGATAGATTGTACTTATTCTAGGGTTTTCTTTTTTCCTCTTCCAGCTTCTTCCTTTTCTCATTTTTTTTTTTAACTACTTTTTAAGTGTTGAACGTTACAATTGATAGACACAAACTAAATCTAGTTTTTAGAATGTCTCAAATATACTATAATTTGGAAATTGACATCCTTTTAATACATTTAAGTATAAACTATAAAGTTGAGAACCAAATTCCCGGGAAGATGCTCTCACTTGGACTAGATTGTCCATGATTTAGCAATAATATCTCAACCTTTTTGACTCGAATGAGATCCTTGTGATGATACCTTATTGATTTTCAGAGCCGGATCTAGGAATTAATTTTAGAGGGGCAATTTTAAAATAATATAATATAAAATAGAGAAAAGGTAGATAAATAGGGTTAAATTTATGAGCATTAGTACAAATACAGGACGGTAGTTAAAACGAAAAAACTAAATCAAATTAATGATAGGAAAAAAAAAAAAAATTGAGTGGAGTCACTGGCCTTCGTACTATTTTCCATGTATTAATTGTCACGTGTTGGAGATCTCCTGAATTTGATTTCGTTCATCTTCTTATGTTATGCCACCATATGCCTTTTTAAGACCACAAATATGTTTACAGAGAATGGAAACAATTCTTGTCAACTCTTTTTAATTGCTAGCTTCACATTTGAGTACCAAATCAAATCTTGCCTGTCGGAAGAGCATCTGATTAGTGTTACTTGATTGTACAATCTGATATAAAGAGGGGAAGGGCTTGAGCTTTGAAAGGAGAATTGTCACCCTAATCAAGTAACATGGCATCTAACTTGACAAATAACAAGAATAGATTAATTAATGATTAACAGCTAATTGTGTTCGATAACTCGTTCTTCTTTTTTTTTTTTTTTTTTTTTTTAATACTATTTCTCTTCATAATTTATTTGCACGTTCATTAAACAATAACTACAAGCAACTTAAAAGGTTTTAGGGAAAAAATTATCAGTAATTATAGAGAACAATATGATGAAATTACATCGGAAAATATCGAGAAGAAAACTTAGTTACAAAGGCAGAAAAATTATGAAAAGCAAATTGAAATAAATGAAACTTTGCGTTTTGATTTTAATACATTGCGTTAACATTAAGCGAGCAGAAAGTCACATCATCCGAAGATGCTTCCAAGAAGGCAACCACGTGGTCTATGAGACTATGACCAATTGAAATTAAATTAAGATGGCAAAGCTTTTGCTATAAATTAAACCTCTTGAAATTAAAATTTAATTCTAATATATTAATTTATTTAAAAAATAATTATGCAATTATAGCAATATAAACATCTTTATTGATTATGTCATACAGATGACCCCGTATGCAGATGTAATAAGTTTTATTCTCTCTAATAAGTTCTCGGCTGTTCAATTTCAATAAATTTTCTTGCAAGAAATTGATCAAAAAGGTTTAATTAATAAAGAAAATCAAAAGTTGCTATAAATTGAAGTCACAATAAATTCCACAGAGAGACGCACTTTCATGGGAAGTTGCTATAAAGTGGTGACAGCAATACGTTTGATTCAGTCAAGTTTTGAGCCACTGAAAATCAGAAGCAATTAATGGAAAGAATTTGATTTAATTTCTGTCCATTATTCTTCAAAGTAGTTTCCGAAAAGAAAAATAATATTTTATGTAATATGTGGTCTGTCTCCTAACTAATGAAAGTCGTAATTCTCTGTTTACATTGCGGCAAATTGATTAAGTATATTACTGTTAAATATTCTTTGATATATCATTGCTCCATCAATTACCGTACTTTTCATTATTTATAGTTAACATTCAAGATTCTTCACCAAAACCATGTATATTTAACTAATAATGTTCGTAAAAGAGATGAACGTTCCCACAAGAGACTGAGTATATAATATATAGAAAATTGTAAATAGAATGCATGCATATCGACGGAATCTTAAAAATGGGGGAAACTTCTTGAGAAAAAAAGAAATTAAAATAACACATGGTGACTTACAAAAGCTAATATGAACTCAACCTAAGAAAACCTTTAAAAAATATACAAGAATATTAATCAACTGGTCCATAAGCATTAGCTCAATTTTATTTTATTTTTCTAGATTTTTCGCCCATCATTTATTCAACTATATATATATTCAATCAAGACTTGATTAAACTTATAGTTAGATTTTTATTAGACTCTTCCATTCTCTAGCCTTCTCTCTATTGATATTCTATCTCAAAATTTTCGAGAAACATCGGATGGATTCAAACAAGAAGCCTAAAAATTCTTGCTCTTGCTTTCCCTTCAACATTTTCAATTCCAGGAGGCCTCCAACCGTGAAGCCTCAGAGTGTGAGCAGTGGTGTGGGAACTGGTGCGGTTTGGACTCAAAGTCAAGGCACCGGTTGTGGCATCGGAGAAAAAGAGAGAGTCGGTTCTAGGGTATCTAATCATCAGGGGTCTTTTATTGATGGGAAAGCTAAATATTATATTGACAGGTTCTATGAAAATAACCAAGACTCAGATGTTGAAGTAGAGAAAGTTTTCTATGAAAATAACCAAGACTCAGATGTTGAAGTAGAGAAAGTTTTCTATGAAAATAACCAAGACTCAGTTGTTGAAGTAGAGAAAGTTTAATTGATTATATCCTGTAATTTCTTCTTCTTTTATATGATGCTTTTATATTAATTCAACCATACTATGAATGTATTTTTCAATGAAGAAAACTCTCATTGAGTACTAAATAATTTTTTTTTTTTTAAATTTAGTTGTCTCCCTTACTATATATTTCTTATTTAATATATACGTTCAATCTCTTTACACGTTTCTTATTATATTATTTTTTTAAATAAGATTTAACTCTCATGTAAAATTTTGTCTTTCAAAGACATAAAACCTTGGATCAATCTTGAGTTAATTCAATTTCGTAAAAGGTTGAGTTAATCTATCAGTGTTGCTTATAGTTATTTATAACAGTAATTTAAAGAAGTAATATATTACTAATATAAGTTGTTTCTTTAAACAATCAATAATAAAAGATTAACTATCATTTCAAATATTTTAACGTGTATTCTAAAAACACGACATCAATAGAATCAATAATTGTTTAAATAAATTTATTCTTCAAGTTGGAAGCCACATTTGGAAGATGCTATGAGGCAAGTAATAAATGTGAATCACTCAAAGTAGGAAGCAATTGAAAATTAACGAAGGGACAAGAATTGTTTCAATTAATTGGCCAAAACCTCTTAAAAGTAGAAAATTCTTCATGTTTTTATTGGATTATAAAACTAATTGTTGTCTCATCTAGCTATAGTAAAGATTTAATTATGTTTACATTGAGCCAATTCAAGTTATATTTATTTATGCACATGATTCACATGAAGTATCAAGTTCTTTAAACAAAACCATTTATTTAATACTATTTAAGTAACAAAGTAGATTCTTAATTTATAAAAACTATAGATATTATATAGTTTTAATTAAAAATAGGATTTAACCCTTTTGCTTTTTACCAATTACATATTGAATGCATATAATATTCTTTTTTTGTAATAAATCTATCTAAATTAATTAAAGTATTCAATGAATAAATAATATGGTTCAGTTGAGATTTTTTTTAATTAAATAGTCAACATAATTTAACCATAGTTATTAGTGTATCTTACGATACGCGATACGTATCCTACGATATGATTCGATACGGGTTACTAACAATATGTATCAGAGAATGTATCATAAACTTTTTGATACATCAATACATATCTATTTGTATCTTTAAAAATATCGATACGACTTTATCAAAAAAAAAAAATCGGTGGGATCCGGGTCACCCAATCCGGTCCACTAAAACCTGTCCAAATTTACTCATTTTGCATGAAAGAAGTGAAGAGGAACATATGTTACCCATTTTGCATGATAATAATAATACAAGTGAAAGTATAGATATTGACATTGATTTTAGAAATGATATAAATAGTTGAGAAGAAATGATATAGATTCTTAATATTATGATTAATTTTGATTACGTAATACCATAATTTAAAGTCAATAATACCACAAAATTCTTTAATTAATCTTTGGAATGATATTAATTTTTAGAAAAAATTTATTATTTTTTTAATTTTTTTTAAAATACGTATCCTACGATACGCGATACACGATTCTAAAAATTAAATTTTGGATATACGATACGATATGTGATTTAACAACCATGAATTTAACCCATTTAAATTTAAATTCTATTGGGTTTGGTTTAGTTTTTCGGGTTCGGATTCGGATATTTTTACATGCACAAATGAAATATACGAATGAAATATACGGATGGGGTCAAACTATATCATAAATTACCAAATAGGGCCCGATAGTCCATGATAATGGGCTGAATGGATCTTTCCTGCCTAGCATTTGACCCGTATAAGGCCCCGACCCATTATCATGAATATATTATATTTTCATTAACTATCCAAGTGAACGAATTCAAAGAAAGCAACAAGCTTTGAAGCCATTCAATCAAAACCCAGAAAGGTAACTCTGTTCGTTCTCATTATATTAGCGCTCGCTTTGTATTATTTTCAAATTATTTCAAGTATTTATACTCATTTCCATGTTTTAACACTTCAGTTGATGAACCAGTAGCTATTTTTAAGATTGTTTTCTAACCGTTCGACAAAATGTCTCAAAGGAAAAGACTGTGTTTGTATGAATGTTAGTTTTGAAAAAGGAAGTATTTTAAGTTGACTTTTCCTTTTTTGAAGAATCCTGATTTGAGCTTGTACTTTTTGGCTGCTAAATAGTTCCAATTTTGTATCATTTTTTAGTGGGTTGAAGCCTTATTTTTATGAAAACATTAAGCTTATGACAAATTGAAGTCTTGTTCAAGAAACATATTAAAGTAGTTATCTGTTTTGTGTTTAAGTTTCCAAGGATTTCAATTGAGTGTGGTTTTGCTGTGGGCTGAAGTCAGTGAAGTTAATAGGAGCTTGTAACAGATTTATTCTGAGGGGGGAAAGCAAGCGGGAGCTTTTTTTTGGTGGCTTGAATGCTTTGAATTATATTGATATATAGATGGCGTTGAGGCGTTTATTGGGGTTTTCGGATGGTGAGCTGATGCGCTCGGATGCAAAGCCCTGTTCGAGATTAATGAGGCAGACAGCTGGGATTTTTACCGTTGGAGGAGCATTAGGGTTCTGGGTTCTTTGTAGACTCCATTATGGTATGTCCTATTTGATTCTCTTATACTTGTTTAAGCTTGAACTATATTCACACATTTTGTATCTTAAATTACCTTTGTGCAGCTTCGTAAGTTTCTCAGAGCTGCTATGAAAAAAATTATAAAATGGATTTCCATTTGATCGCTTATATTATCTTTGCTTGTGAACTTGTGTTGGGATCAAGGGGTTGTTAAAAATCCATGATAGGATATGAAAATTGATTGCATTTTTTGCTTGCTTTTTGCTTCAAAGTATTCCCTATGGGTTCTCCATTTCTAAATTTTTTTTTTTTTGAAGCTCAGTTTGTGCTAGAATCCTTTTATTTGGATCAGTTGATAACTCGAATGGCTTTGACAATTGTCTTAGACAGAGTAATGTCAAGCATCCAACTTCATCAACGATTTCTCTAACTTGGTTTTTTTCTTTTTTTGCTCTTGAATTGTATTCTGTGACATAATTTTAAGCTATAAATTGATTTAAATGAAATGTTACTGTAGGTTTTTTTCTGTTTGCATGATGCTAACATTTCCATGCATTCTGTCTAATCTGAGCAGCAATTCATGCTAATGCAGGTCCTAGAGTTACAGTCCCGAGAAGTCTTCGGTGGGCAGCTTGCGGAGCTGTTTCTATGAGCTCAACCACTGCTCTGCTGGTCCGCCTTTTTAGTCCAGAATGTGAACCTCAGAATATAGCCGCGTATGATAGACGAAAGTAGTAATAAGCTTCATTTTTGGCTTAAATTTGTGATGCCTAAGAATTATAATTACTCCTTGAAAAAAAAGATCTCATTACTTGTAGAACCCCAAGACTAAATGCATATGTACTGTTGCTAATGCCAAAAGGTTAAATACATATGAGCCATTGAAAGATATTTAAATTCCATTTGTCACGTAATGTTTACACTACTCTATGGTTTTTAAATCAGTAGAGTTTTTTGACTTTTTGTGAAAATATTGAATGCTGATGAAATATGGGAATCTCTCAGGGTGCCATGATATTTCCCCTTGGAGAAATATAGCTTGGATATCATTTAACAATGGGCCCTTCATTAAGCATATTGGTACTCCAATTGTTCAAGTTCAGCAATTATTGCTTGAATTTTTCTTTTTCTTTCTCTTCTCAACCAAAACTAGTACAATGTGAAAATGGTTGTTTGTTGAATGTTGATAACTAAGGTCCATGTACATTACAAGCAACATTATACTCTTGACCCTCGGTCAACAATTTTTTTAAAATATTTTTTAAATAGTAAGTGTGTCTTATTGAATGAGTGAATTGATGCACACATTTAGCTAAAGACTAAGTTGTATTCACTAAGATGGCCTATATACGTCGTATACGTTCACGACATATATACGAAACATATATATTCCTCCTGTCACATATATGTCATCTTAGCCAACTATTTTTCTCACCCTAAACTGTCTCGGTGTGTATTATTAGCGATTAAAAAGTTTGTTTTTATCTTTTGAAAATATGAGGAAGAAACTCTAGCAATGTTATTTATTATATCATCCCATTCAATTGATGACAAGTGATAAAATTAAAATAAGTGGTGCTAAATAACATCACCCCTGGTGCAATTAAGCTAGAAAATGCGTTTAACTATTAGTGTTTCATTTAGAGCTTAATTTGTAGAAAATAGAAATCTTCAGATGACATGGGATTTATTTGTGAGGGTGTTTGAAATTGTAACAGCTTAAAAGATAATCACTTCATTTCAAAGCTAAGAAAAAAATAATATTTAGAAAACACTCATTAGAATAATCTTTCAAGTTCGATGACTCAGAGGAAAAGACGGTGTGTTTGTATGAATGTCGGTTTTAAAACAATCTTCTCATATGAGTTACAAATTTAAGTATTTTAAGTTGATTTTTCATGTTTTGAAGAATCCCAATTTGAGCTTGTACTTGTTGGCTGCTAAGAGATCAAGTTTTTGTATCATTTTAAGTGGGTTGAAGCCTCTTATTATTTTTAGTTTTTACATTAAGCTTATGACAGATTGAAGTCTTGCTCAAGAAACATATTAAAGTAGTTGTCCAGTTTGTGTTTCAGTTGTTGTGTTCTTGCTGTTAAAGAAATCAATATTTTAGCAGGCTGAAGTCGTTGAAGTAAATAGGAGTTTGTGTAGATTTATTCTCTGAGGGGTCAAAGCGAGCAGGACAGTAATTTTTGGTTGCTTGGAAGCTTTGAATTGTATTGATATATAGATGGCGTTGAGGCGTTTTTCTGGGTTTTTGGATGGTGAGCTGATGCGGTTAGATGCAAAGCCCTGTTCGAGATTAATGCAGACAGCTGGGATTTTTTACTGTTGGAGGAGCACTGGGATTCTGGGTTCTTTGTAGACTCCATTATGGTATGTCGTATTTGTTTCTCGTGCTTGTTTAAGCTTTAATTATATTCATGCATTTTGTATCTTAAATTACCGTTTTGCTGCTTGTTCTTTCTCAGAGGTACGATGAAAAAAAAAAATTATAATATGGATTTCCATTTGACTTTTCTATCTTTGCTTGCGTACTTGTGTTGGCATCAAGGGAAATGACTGTTAAAAATCCATGACAAGATATGAAAATTCATAGGATTCTATACTTGCTTTTGCGTCAAAGTATCCCCTATTGGTTCCCCACTTCTAAATATAATTTTCTGTGAGAATTTGTGTTTTCGTGTTTCTTTCTACAAACAGCAGCATAACAGTGCAGATACTTATATAAAAACTACAACTTTTCCTAATATTTTGATAAGTTGATAGCTCAAATGGCTTTGAAATTGTATGTATTTTATAATTTTTCATGCAAGTTTGTATGATTTTCAAACCTACCTCTGGACTTACCACTTAATTGAGTCTCAGTTTCATTTAATTGTACACCAATAAAACGAGGTCTTAGTATTGCTGTCTCATACGTGTGATCCTTCTATATGTATTCTCTCTCTGTTATGAAGTTTTCAATTTGTGATAGATTGCAAATAAAGTTTGACGTAGTTTGTTAAGATGCATTGGACAGGGTAATGTCGAATGTCTAACTTCATCTACTTGTTCTCTAACTCTGTCTCTTTTTCCTTTTCCTTTTATTGCTTCTGAATTGTGTTCTATGATGTGAATTAAAAGCTATAAATTGACTTAAATGAAATGTTACTGCAGGTTTTTCTGTTTGCAGCAATGCTAACCTTTTTTCATATCTGTCTAATAGAAACATATACTCTATGATAATGCAGGTCCTAGAGTTACAGTTCCGAGAAGTCTCCGGTGGGCAGCTTGCGGAGCTGTTTCTGTGAGTTCAACCACCGCTCTGCTGGTCTTCCTTTTTAGTCCAGAATGCGAGCCTCAGAATATCGCTGCATATGACAGGGGAAAGTAGTATTGAGATGCATGTACGGGGTGAAATTTGTTACGCTTAAGAATTATCATTCATTAGACCCTGAAAGAGAGATCTCATCGCTATTAGACCCCCAAGACTGAATAGATATGTACAGTTGTTGACGTCGAAAAGGTCAATTATTATGAACTATTGAAAGATCTTTTTAAATCCATTGTCACCTAATGTTTACACTCCTCTATGGGTTTTCAAATCAGGAGACTTTTGATAATTTCTGAAAATATTGGATGTTGAAAACATTTTCAGGAGTTCTTGTGGCCCCATTATAATTACCTTATGGAAATGTAGTTTGGAACTTTGGATATCATTTGACTATGGCTTTTTTTTTTTTTTTTTTCCAATAATATCGGTAGGTAAGACTTCAATTTTTCAAGTTGAAAATAGAAGTAAAGCAACATTATCCTTGATCGTGATCCAAGAGGTAACTGAATCATGATTCAATATTGTTATCAAGATGGGTCAGTAAGGTTGCCCGTCAAAATATAGTAACGCTACTCTTAAACAGGGAATTCGTTTAGAAATGAGATAATAAGCCCCTTCATGTACAAATTGAGACGATAGGCAAATTCTTTGAACATGTGTTATTGAATAAGTCGGTTGTCACAACGCACTCGAGAAAGTCTTCACTAAAACACACTTATACATTCAATCATTCATATGTAATTATTAGACAGACACGCATACTCACTTGTCTCGTCTAATTGGAGGAACATATAGATGCCCAATTTATAGAAATGTCTATCTCTAGTTTTGAGTTATACATGGAAAAGATTTTAGCAATATTATCTCTCCTGTCATCTTATGATGTTGAAATGCAAAATAGAATGCAAATAATATATTTTTTTAATTGTGAAATAATATTATGTTTTTTTTATTTTAGAAAATTTTATATTATGTTTCTTTATTGTATAACTTAATTTTTGTATAAATAGACAATGTTGGTTCAATTATAATCAATTCAATAACAATTGAATTCACTAAACTATGCTTTTGAGTCTCATTTGCTCATAATTTCAACATGGTATCAGCGTTTCTAGGTTGAATCAGCTTCCGCTCAACTAATCTCTCTTTTCTATCCCACCAATTCAAAAAGATATTCGGTTAACACAATACTCAGTTAACCTCTCTTTTTGTCCCTGCAATTCAAACAGTTAGATTTTCCAATGGCAAATCGAAACTCAAACTCTAACATAATCGCCAACATTTGCATCTTTTACGTAAGCTTGTAAACCACAAGCTTAAGGGGGAGTGTTAAAGTGCAAAATGTAATGCAAATAATATATTTCCTTAATTATGAAATAATATTATGTTTCTTTATTCTATGAAATTTTAAATATTATTACAATATTATATTTCCTTATTATATAGCTTAATTTTGTATAAATAAGCAATGTTGATTTAACTATAATCAACTCAATAACAATTGAATTCATGAAACTATCTCCTTGAGTCTCATTTGCTCATATGAATCATTTAGTCAATGAAATATGATAAATCTTTGAATGAATGTGAAACCAGTTTAAGATTGTTCCTTGACCGTAATTGATGGTTATCGCAGAAAGGATTTTGTTTGATGTAATTCTTACAAAAATTCTTATTCAAAGTGCTTTTCTAAAGCCGTATTATTTTATTTGTTATTACAAGATGTTGCCGGCTCCCTTTGCATAATTTTGTGGACATAAGGTGGAGATTAGTCACATTACTGTGTTAAAGAATAATTAAACTATAAAATAATAATTAGGAATAAATCTTGTCTCTATAAACATATTACATTTCTAGTTTCCCATTCAATGATTTGTTATTATTAACTCTAATTTATACTTGCCCTTTGATATTAACTTCCAAAATAAATAAATTAATACCGTCATCTTGAAAATTACTTATATCATCAAATTTAGAAGCTAACAATAGAAACCCTAAATTTAATTATAAAATCGGTAAAGGTAAGGTAGAAGGGGATGATAAAAAAATTTAATACAAAGTATATGAAGGTCTTTTTTTTAGTTGTTGTGTGAGAATGTGTGAACAGCTCGGAGCCAGGAATAGCTCGGAGCCGAGCTAGCTGTAGCCCATAATGACTTGTGAGATGACAATCAGATGAAAACGAGCTACAGTCAGAAGCAAGGCGAGCTACTCGAAAATTATCTTCTAAACCATGGATAAGTCTTATCTCCTTGGATTGACATTATCCCCTAAAATCAAGGAGGAAATCACAGGATTAATGTTAGTCAATCTCGGCATGATGGCCACACTGGAAATCATGGGATTGACTTCACCAAATCAAGTCATAATCCCAAAAATCACTCTTGTAAGCACTACCAACTCAGTTATAAACCCCATGAAAATCATTTAAAAAGGGGTTAGCAATTTGAGAGTTAGCAACCTAAGAGTGAAAGCCTGTTCTTGTAATCACAACTATAGTAATAAGATAACAGTAGATGTAGGCTTAAGAGTTTAGCTCGCCGAACCACTTTAAAAAGTTCTTGTGCATTTATTTTCATCATTTTTTTCTTTCTCTTACTGATTATCTATAATCATGCAGCCACACTATCTAATTCTGTTAAGGTCAATTAAGTAACTCTAGTTGTTATAAGATTTTGTAACAACATTTTGGCGC